CTACTACTACTACTACTACTACTACTCCTGCTGCTGCTGCTGCTGCTGCTGCTGCTTCTGCTTCTACTTCTACTTCTACTTCTACTTCTACTTCTACTTCTACTTCTACTTCTACTTCTACTTCTACTTCTGCTGCTTCTGCTGCAGCCCCACCGTGCTTCCCGCGACCAGGGTTTTGGACCAGCGCTGGCTGGAGCAGGAAAGGAGTCGGAATTCGCAGTTCGCCAATTGGATCTCTTCAAAGAGCCTTGGCGGTTTAGGAAGTTTAGGCTTTCTTGGAATAGACACAGGGGGTGTTAGATTTTAAGGTTTGGGGTGTCGGGATTGCAGGCTTGAGGGGCTCAGGGGTGCAGGATATGGGGGCTTTAGGGCTTATAGGGTTTACGGAAGGCTGAGGGAACTGAATTCGATTTCGGTGTTCAGCAGTTGGGGTTCCAGGCACGGAGTAGAGTCTAGAGGGTTGGCCTGCGACTGTTTTGATTACAAGAAACTTATCCTGCTGTGTCTGCACGAGCTGCCTGACATTTGGCGTCAGGGCGTCATGAGCTCTCGGCAGACATCATCGGGCCTCGACAGTGACCTGAGCCTTAAGGACGAAATTGACCCTTAAAAGTAGGGGCCCTATACTACCCTTATATTATGAATCCCTACAAGGTATATGAACCCTAAACCCTTTTCGGGCCCTTTTCGTCCTTAAGGAGTTTTTTTTGAAAACGGAAACCCAACACCGCAGGCCTTGTGTGGCCTGAGTGTGGCTGTAGTGTCCATTGCAGTTCCTGTTTTGGGTTACCTTATCGGACCCTAAACTAAAGCTTGGCTAAGCCAAGACAAGGAATTACGCTGGAGAAAATAGATTGGGTCAAAATTGTCCCAGACCTTCCAATATCCCGTATGACGAAACAGGATCCCTTAGATGATTGAAGGTATATTCCTTATTGAAGGGATCTTCGAATTTCTGGGTTCTCCCTGTTTGCCAAGGCGTGGAGTGCTGGTGCAGCTACTTTGCGTCGCGGCACCCTGTTTGAAACATGTGGGTTAGGGAATGCTGCAGGCGTCCTACACCCTAAACCCTATACACCATAAACCCTAAGCCCTATACACTATACACCCTACACCCTAAACCCTATACGCCCTAAACCCTAAGCCCGTACTAGAGCACAGGATTTGGGAGCTTGTGACATGTGTAGGCTTCGGACTTTCAAAGTTAACAGTCGTCCCCACGAAGCCACGAATGCACCACCAGCACTCGGGATCTTAGTCGGTGCTACAGGCATTTTCAATATCGTTCTTTGGTTTCCATATGGCCGCAGAGGTGTCGGTCGGAGTCTTTCACTGGGCTGGAGGGGGGCCTGGTTCCGCTACCGTGTCCTGTTGCATATACATATCCAGGTAGATGTAGTTGCTTGCGGGTGCTTTGATAAAGCATTCTGAGATGAGAAAGATAACACTTGGCTCTGAACTCACATGGGATGATACAAAGTCGATTGTAGATGTGGGCATAGCCACTGGAAGTTAGTTAGCATCTATGGAAGGTATAGGTAGGTCGGTCGGTCGGTAGGTCGGTAGGACGGCAGGTCCGTAGATCGGTAGGTCGGTGTTTTCGATCTGTTGTTCGGTCGGTAGGTAGGGTGGTAGATCGTTTAGCAGGTATGCATGTACGCACGTAAGAGCAATTACATAGACAACAAATCGTGTGTCTGTTCTGCACATACATAGACAGTTACGTGGCAAGATGTGTCGCTTGTTTAGAATTTAGGGTGCACGTAGGGTTTAGGGCATAGGGAAGCTCATGCCTCACGTGCTGTCCCACTGGGTGTTCAGGAACTAGGTTCCCGAGTAGTACCCTTTTGCCCTTTTTATTTGGGAGTCTACAAATTAAAGCCGAATATTAGGAAAAAGGGTACCCTTATAATTAGAGGGTTACTGGGGAACCAAGGGAAGCAATAGTGTCACTTCATCGTCCTTCTAGGATACCTGCTTGCTAGTCCGTAGACCTTCTATCTGACCCTAAATACCCCTAAATTTGGGACGGGCCATACACCCCTATTTGAGGGTGCAAGGAGGGTCCTGATCCACAGCTGTAACTTGACACTCGCATGTGCTCAGATCTTTGTCTTCTTTGATTCGGCCAGAACGATTGTGCGCCTTGGCCCGGTTGGCTAACCAAAGGATTGCCCGAATGTGGGGTCTTCTTAGAAGTCCGGGTGCTGTAGCAGTGTCCTTTGTTTTCTGAAGTTCCGAATCACTGCTATCGCCAATTTCTACGGGGATTGCGCAGTTAGAGTCTAAAGTCGAGGTCAGGAGCCAAAGGTTAGACTCCAGACAGAGATTCGATGCCGTCAAGGCAACGTGTCTCACCACCCGGAGCTGCAAAGAGAGCCAAGGAATGATCAGTTCATCCGAAGTGCTCCAATCGTCTCCCAGTCGATCACCTTCTCACAATTCGGAGCTTCCGTGGCAGCAGCCGCGGCTGCAAGTGGGGTTTGAGCTTTTCCAAGGTCCGAGTATATCCTATCACAGGTTGATACGGTTCATGATATAAATCCTGCATTACCCATAATAAAGAATATACCATAATTCCCATAGTTTAGGGTCCTTAAGGTAATGCAGGATTTATATCATCAACAGGGGTTTTCAGGTAAAGGCAGGTTCGAAGATCCTACTACCTAGGCACTCCCAGTGGTCAGAATAAAGTTCATGCAAGGTGCAAGGTCAAGTGAAATGGCAAGCTTGTTTGTGCTTTGCTAGCTGGCCTGTCGGCGATTCCGTTGCAAGGATGCTTACAGCGTCCATAGGCTACACATTGGCATACTAAGTATTGCAGATGCAAGTAAGTAAGCATGTATGTACACCTATATGTATGTCTATGTATATGCATATGTATATGTACATGTATGCGTATGTGCATGCATATACGTGTACGTATATGTATATGTATGCATTTATACACACAGTCATAAACATACATACATACACACATACATAAACGCATACATACACACATGCACATACACACACAGGTACATGTGCAGAACGATACAAATGACCCTTATGCCATCAAAACGAATCCCAAGCCCGACAGCTCCGTGAAAAAGGCCGAGAAAGCCCCATGAAGGGCCCTTGAAGATCTCATACAGAACCCCAAAGCCTGAACAACCCTAACTAAAGCCTAAACCCCTAAACCCTTAAACACTTAAAACCCTAAACACAAAACCCCCAAAGCCCTATATCCCTAACCCCCAGAACCCTAAGCCCCTAAAGCCCTAAACCCCTAAAGCCCTAAAGCCCTAAAACCCTAAAACCCTAAAACCCTAAAACCCTAAAACCCTAAAACCCTATAAGCCTATAAGCCCTAAAGCCCTAAAACCCTAAAACCCTAAAACCCTAAAACCCTAAAACCCTATAAGCCCTATAAGCCCTATAAGCCCTAACACCCTATAAGCCCTAAAAGCCCTAATTCCCCAAAACCCCGAGAGGTCGGCTTGGGGGTTACCGGCCTCGTGGATGGCCGCGCTGGGCTTCGGGAGGCCCTGGCCTGGAAGGCGCAGGGCGGGTTAAGCTTCGGGTTTAGAGGTCTGTTAGGGTTTAGGGTTTATGAGCTTCGGGTTTAGAGGTTAGGGTTTAGGGGTTTAGGGGTCTACTGGGGTTTGGGGTTTAGGGGTTTAGGGGTTTAGGGTTTAGGGGTTTAGGGGTCTATTAGGGTTTAGGGTTTAAGGCTTCGGGTTTAAAGGTTAGGGTTTAGTTTCGGGGTGTTGGATCCAGGGATTAGGGGTCTAGGCTTGTTGTAGAATTAGGGGCCTTACAAACTTCGAACAGGTGTCTGGGGTATATCACAATACTACATATAGCAAAGATGATTCAGGCTTCCAGACTAATAGGGTTTGGAGTTTAGGGTTTAGGGTTAAGGTTTGGGATTTAGGGCTTGGGCCTGGGTCTCGCGGGCTTAGGGTTTAGAGTTTGGGGTTTAGGGTGTGTTTGAAGTATTTGGAGGTGCGGCTGTCTTTGTGCATCCTTTGAAGTTCTCTCGAAAACTGTCTCTTTGCATGATGCAGTTGATGTGGAGTATTGCCTTTGCTTCCCTTGGTGAGGACGTCTTGCGATCCTTCCCTGTGGCGGCTTGCTTCTCCTTGAGCCAGACCTTTACCATCATGGCCTACAGCGCTGGGGTGCTCTCGGCAGATTTCAGCCTTGGAGGTCTCAATGACTGGGGATAGTGCCCATGTACGATAGCATGCCCCCCAAAACCCCGAACCTAGCTATCGAGGCCCTCAGTGTGAAAATTTTGCAAGGCATCCAAGGGGCTGCCCTGGGAGATTTTGGGGTAAAATTGGTTGTAAGTTCGATTCGAGGCCTAAAAGATTTCCAAGACTGTTTCTTCGGGGTTCCTTAATATGAGTACGGCATTATATATCGCAAGACACTGCTCCTGCTTCTGTTATCTTCATTTCTTCATTTCGACAGTTTCTGCTTGAAGCTGAAAACCCTGAACCCTAAACCCTAAACCCCAAACCCTAAACCCTAAAACCCTAAACCCTAAACCCTGAACCCTGGAATATAGAAGGAAAAAATAGCAAGTCGACCTCGGAGCCAAAGCAATGCACTGCGGCAACACGCAACGTCTTTCGCCGGGTCTCTGCCCTCCATCAAGGTCTCCGCCTTGCGGAAGGATGATAGAAATTATGAAGCCAGCCAAACAGGGGATGCAGTGAGTTCTAACTTCGAAACCATATGAAGACGGGTGCGTGTCCTTGCTAGTTTTTGCTGGCGTCCGCTTGCAGCTGCTTGCTCCCCACAGGGAGCCTTATGGAATGAGTCCCCCAAGGACCATCCTATATAATGATGGTTTGGGCACCTACATAATGACCTAATTCCAGGATGGTAGCATTTATGGACCCTCTTGGTGCTGCCAGGTCAGCGGAATGGAGAACACGGCGACCCGGCTTCAAGTCAGATTCATGTGTTAGAGGGTTCAGGTTTTGAGGTTTACCAGGTCTTACCTGTAGGCTCCATTGTAGTTGATTTTTGGGGCTTGTATTTAGGATCCTACAAGGTAATCCCAAGAAAGGAACTACTATGGAGCCTATGGGTAGAGAGTTTACACTGCGGCTTAGCAGCCATGAAGCTCTTGAGCAGCACTACGACGTCAGACCCTGCCTCCAGCAAAGAACCCTAAAAGGGTTCAGGGCTCATATGCCATGTAGGGAATCATAGTATGATTCTACAGGGCCCCTACTTTTAAGAGTCATTTCGTCCTTCAGGAGGACTGCTGTCACGGTTTCTTCCCTTTGTCTTCTCCCATTGGGGAAGCACCTCCTATTCTCGGCGTCCAGTTACCTGAGTACTCTTAGTAACTTAGTAGGTGACTGCATATTACATGTGTATATTTATATATGTATGTATGTATGTATGTATGTATACATATATATGATCCACCTAGACCCTGCGCAAGCAACATGAGGTAGCCAACCAAACGGACTGCAGCGTAGGGGTCTCGGAAGTAACCTACTATGTAGCTAACTGGAGTGCTCTGCCGCTGGAAGGTCATGTACCCTTATAAAAGCCCCATGTTCAACACTGTAACTAAAGAACCGTGCTAATCCAACAAAAGCCTTTGTAAGACCTTTAACTGACGATCCAGTTCAAACCTTCTGAAACCTGTTCAGACCCTACCAGTAGCTTAGACAATCTTATAAGACCCTTATAGGGAACCCTGCTAAAGCTCATGCAACCGAGCAAGGCCCTGATTGAAATTGAGAGCCCACGGAAAGCCCAAAAAGCCCTAGCCGAAAAAGCATGATCACACCCTTTCAGACCCTGCAAAAAGCCCCATAAAACCATGCAAAACCATTTATAATTAGAGACCCTTAGGAAACCCTGTTAAAGATCATCAAGCCCTACAAGACCTTTTGAGATCCCGAGGAGGTCCTACAAAGCCCATTCAGGTCGTCGGCAACGTCTACCTGCCACTCAGCGCGCTGCTGAGCCGGTGGATCTTTCGCCGATCGTACAGCTCCTCAGCTGCGGCTTAGGCTTCGTGGTTCAGGGTTTATAGGGTTTAGAGGGTTCAGAGTTTAAGGTTCAGGGAGGGTGGGGTTGGGGTATTAGGGAATAGCGCCTACTCTGTCTGGGTTGCAGTGCTGCCCTACTACGCTCAGGGCTAAGATGATGGTAGTATTCATAATGACCATAGCTATTGCTAGTTTATTCTATCCGGTGCTAAAGGGGTTTGCTCTTCAGAGGAATTTCGAAGGTTGCAGAACGCCGAGGAAAGCAGAACTGCCACAAGAAGCCCTGCACCCGATAGTTGAACCCACATCGCAAGCCTGAGCATCAACCCCGACGTGCGTCTCGTTTTGAGGCTTTCTGGAGTGGATCGCTCTCACCGAGACTTGGGCAGAGTATGTGGATCGTTGAGGTATGGGGCTCCTTTTTTTGAGAATGGCAGGCTCGCGCACGATTCAGTTTTAAGGTTGAAAGGCTTGGGTTTAGGGTTTATAGGGCTAGGATCATGGAACCTATAGCAACTCGTAACTAGGGTTGTATATAGGGATTACGTGAAGGCCGAAGTCTACACCATGTATGAGTACATGGGGACCCTTTGCTTAATGTACCCATAGTCTTACTTACTAAGTCGCATGGCCCTCCAAGTATACACGGGCCTGGGACATGCCGCGCCATGCTTGCAATGTTCACAAAAGCACGCCACAAAAAAAGAAGTCCTTCACACTAAACCCTAAACCCCTAAACCCTAAACCCCGAAACCCTTCCATCTCAGAGATAGGGTTTAGGGTGTAGGGTTCTATGGCTTCAGCATTCAAGCAAAGCATCTTTTGTGTTTCTCAGAGATTTGGGGGATCCCGCCCAACTATAGTACCCTTCATGACGGCCCCGGCCTTGAAAAAGTGGTTTGCATACTTTTTCGGACATCCCGCTTTATGGCCAAGGACGTTTATTGTTTGCACGTAAGCTAGCCAAGCAAGGGGGCTGCAATTTGCTGTCTGCATGGTCTGGGGTGCCCTCTAAGGCGTTGATGCTTAGTGCCAGCGTCTTCGTGCTGCTGCAGCAATCTCCCTCAGGCCGGCAATATACACACATATATATATATATGTATACACATACATACACGTACGTGTGTGTGTGTGTGTATCTGTGTGTATATATTTATACAAGGAAAATGTTATATCTGAATATGTATATATATATACATATTATATACATACATACATACATACATACATACATACATACATACATACACACATACATACACACACACACACGGCTCACAGGGTTAAGGCGTTTCAGTGTTTATCTCCGGTTGTGCAGATCTCATGACTTTGGACAGCCTTTTTTGCATGTTCGTGTCGCGCATAGGGGTCTGTGAGGTTTCAGACAGCAGAGCTGCTTGAGGCAATATCCCAAACGGGCTCCTCAAATTGATCCGTATGGGTTTCTGAGGGGTTTCTATGTAACGAATACACTTTAAATCGCATTAGGGGTCCTACTATAAATTAAGGTACAGTCCTAACTTACGGGATGTTGGAAGGTCTGGCTAGGGTTTACGCAAACTCCAAGGGGGAAAAATCTCGTACGGTAGACCCCCGAATCACGAACCCACATGTTTTCAAAGCTTCAATGCCAGGATCCGTAGTGTAATCCCTCTTAAGGGAGAGAGGGTTCTTAATCAGGGTCTACAGTGTTGCAATAATTTCGGGGACACGGTATACTCAGACCTCTACCGTGCGGCACACCAAACTGCCAGAACATGCAGGCGAAGTGTCGTCCCACATCTTCTCAACAGGGATCCTCTATGTGATCCTCTCCGCAGCTTCCCTGCATCCTGTGGGAGGCCTTTGCTAGTTTCCTTCGGTTTGGGGTTAGGGCTGCGTGGTCCTTGGACTGATCCCCCGGGGCCATGGCCCAGCACATTGCTGTAATCTGTTTCCTGCTACACTTAGTAATCATGCGTGCGCGTCCTGGTCGTGCGAGCTGAGTTTGTCAGCTATTGTCAAAAACCCTAAACCCTCAAAAACCCTAAACCCTAAACCGTGCATGCAGCGCTTACATATGCGGAACTGTCCACATGCATGCGGACATCAGTGGCCTTGGGCCCTGGGGCAGGCCCTAGAAGGACGAAATGACCCTTAAAAGTAGGAACCCTATAGAATCATACTATGAATCCCTATGTGGTATATGAGCCCTAAACCCTTTTAGGGTTCTTTTCGTCCTTAAGGTGGGGCCTTCAAGACGACCCCTTAAAACCAGCGAAGCCCAAGGCCCAGACCCTCAAAGCACAAACACCGATGTTTAGCCCACAGAGCCCAGCGAGCATCGGGGTGTATGGTTTAGGGGTTTAGGGTTTAGGGGTTTAGGGGTTTGGGGGTTTAGGATGAGTACTTGGGCCAGCAGAAACCGAAATGGATCCCCAAATGCACGGGCCAAGTCAAGTGCAAAGCTACGAAGCTCGCCAAGCACACGTACAGTCAAGCCTGGGAAGGCTGGGGCCACAAACTCACTGTGGGTTTGATGAACCTAGAGCGTGGCTACTACAATCAGGTCCCCAAACCCATAATACGGATGGCCTTTTGGGCTTTCAAAGCTCCACAATAGTCGTATAGATGGAGCCTCTGGAGAGCCATTGCCAATTGTGATCTCGAGCCGGTGGTCTTCACTCCCAAAACCCAAACCTTAAGGACGAAATGACCCCTTAAAAGTAGGGGCCCTATAGAATCATACTATGAATCCCTATATGGTATATGAGCCCTAAGCCCTTTTAGGGTTCTTTTCGTCCTGAAGGAACACTGGCTACAGCCCTCGTGGTGGCCCTCTAAACCCTGAACCCTAAGCCCCCATACAAAAAATAAAGCCAGGGCTAGAGGATGCTACCAGGAACCTGACTTCCGGCTTCTGAAGTAAGAGCCGTCGAGATCAGCGGCTCTGAAACCGCTCCGAAGACGCGAAGCCCTCAGTCCCAAGAATGAAGAGAACCATCTCCTTGGGCTCTAATATCGGGCTATGTAGGGTTTAGAAGTGTCGGGTTTAGGGTTTAGGGTTTAGGGGCTATGTAGGGTTTAGAAGTTTAGGGTTCAGGAGTTTAGGGTTTAGGGATTAGGGGTTATGTAGGGTTTAGAAGTTTAGGGTTTAGGGGAATTGTGAAGTTCAAGCTACCAGAATAAGGAACAATGTAGGAACCTGATGAAGAAACCCTGGCCCTATATCCCCAAATGTATTAGGTTCATATAAAGAACCCTAATAAAACGTGAGGGTCCGAGCCTTTAGTCAGAATTCTTCACAAAAGCCTCTTCCACGACCCGAGGTCTGCATGTCCTGCCTGGCCTCCATGCTCTCTGAGAAGATCATGAAGGTCCTTGGGTTGATGATATACATCCTGCATGACCCATCATAAGGACCATACCATAATTCCCATAGTTTAGGGTCCTTAAGGTAACGCAGGATGTACATCAGTTTCCCAAGAAGCCCAGAAACCTATCCTGAAACCCTGGACCTTAAGCCCATATAAAACCTTTTGTTCTAAAACCTTGTGTTTTCGACGTACCCTGAACCCAGTAGCCGCAGCTGGGCTGCGAGGGATTCCTGTCTAATTGCCCACTGTGTTGAGGAGCAGAAGGTCTCTCTTCGGCAAGGGTTTCGGGCTTAGGGAAGGGCCTGCGTTTGTTTGCTATGATTTTCAAGAGGCTTGGGGTCTGAGGCAGCATGTCAGTTGTGTCTTCAGGTTGTTCGTTTAAGTCATTTTCGGAGTGTAGGGTTGAACAGCTCCCTAATCTGCGAAAACCCACGTTTGTCAGTCGCCAGTTATACAAGTCGCCCAAAAAGAAGGATCTGCTACCTGGACCCCTCTATCTGCCCTCTTGTAGACCCGAAAGACCTGCTATTGAGGGCCATTAGGTGCCACATGCCCTGATTACCCTAAACCCTAAAACCCTAAACCCCATAAACCCTAAAACCCTAAAACCCTAAGCCCGAAATCCAAAACCCTAATCAGCCTGCAGCCCGAGCCTACCTGTCAAACAACACCGATTAGGGTTCAGGATTGGGGTTTAGGGGATTGGGGTCTAGGGTTTAGGGACTTAGGATTTAGGGCTTTGGAGTTTAGGGTTTAGGAGTTTAGGGTTTAGGGTTTCGGGCTTAGGTGAAGAAGCCAGTGAAAAGACAAGGGAACCTAGCTTTTGAAGGGCTCCCGAAGAACAGAAGCCACAAGAAGGGCTCCCTAGGCTTGGAGTAGAGGCTGGCGAGCGTTTTGAGTTTGGGGTGTGGGCTTTAGGGTTTAGGGTTTAGGTTTTAGGGCTAGGGTTAAGCATTTAGGGCTTAGGGTTTAGGGTTAGGGTTTAGGGTTTATCATTTAGGGTTTAGGGTAGGGTTTGTGATTTAGGGTTTCGGGTGTAGGATCTCAGTCTTGGATTTCAAGCTTCAAACGCCTCAGTTTGCAAGGCCGGCAGCAGCCCGTTCTACATCCAGAAGGTGAACTTGGACATCGGGAGTTTCATCACGTCTGCGCACTGGCAGCATTGCTTTGGGGTGCCGTCCTGAAAATGGTGAAAACTCCTCAACTCCCAGAATCATCGAATCTCTGCATTTCTTTCCTCTCCCCAGATCACCTGCCGGCAGCCCGGGGAACTTGCTTCGGAGACAGGTAGAAGGTTCCAACTGCCGAGGCTTGAAATCGTTCCGAGGCTGTTGAGGTAGTGCCTAGAACCTACAGAGTGGTTCGTTGCTTTGGCTACCTTACATACGTTACTGTCGTACGGTCAAACCCTTATGATCACATAAGCAGATTATCCTAAACAGATACAATTCATGAAGGCCTAGATAAACTTTACAGCCGGAGCCAAGGTGATCATGCTCTTCGTTTGTGGCATGGCAAGCGAGCGGCCAAATGATGCCTTCTGGAAGAGTCGAGATGTGGACGGGAGGAGCTGCGGACATCCTTCACACCACCCTCGCCCCTCACTGTAGCCCAAACAGAGGTCCTCTAGAAGAGTAGGGGTGTGTTTTGGTAGGTGATGGGTCCCAGCATCAGTTGCTACATAATATAGGGGCCTTAATAATTAGAATAGGGTTTTGGGGCCCATTATAGTATAGCTATAATAAGGAACCCCCAAAACCCTACTCTAATCATTTCGGCCCCTACATTAACTAGACGCTGTCTTTCGGCAAGCCATCCCGAGCCCTGCAATTCAAAATGATTCCCGGCAAAGGGTGTGATCCCACAGTCCAGAGCAAAAGCGTGTAAGCCAGGGCGAGAAACGCAAGGCCGCTGATGCTGATGATGCTGGCTTTACAAAACGTTATAACAACGGAATCTACACAAATCCTCCTGAGTTTTACATAACACAGTCTATTCAATGCCTCGTAGAGTCCCAGGGTGTACGGTTCGACGCCCTGATATCTTCGATGTTTAGATACGCGATTTGGGATGTTGTCGCAACACCATGACAGTGACAGGAAGCTTGCGCTCATCTCTCTTCGCATATGGGGTCCATGTACCCATTCATCACGGTGTCAGCTCCCAGCCACAACGTTTGGTATGGTTTGGGGTACTTAAGCCCGTATGGAGTTTTGCCACTTGAACTTGAACCTTTGTGTCTGTTACATTTAGCATTGAAGTTACGCTAGGCCTTAAAGTATGCAAACAAGTTCCTCCTTTGGGGTCTCAAGTCTACAAGCAATACCTACCTGTTGGCTATGTGGAGCCCTGGGTTAATCAGGTCATATAGGTCGTGGTTGGTCGACTGTACAGTTGCTTAGTGTTGAGGGAAGCTTAGATTTAGGCCTAGGGTTAGCTTGTTGTATTGGAGGTTCATGGGTAGTTACATGTGGGGTTATCAGTATGGTAACTATAGTTATAGTTAGCATGTTATAACCCATATTATGGGACTAATAACCCTGCTGATAACAACCCACCAGAGCAGCGAAGGATGAGAGCTCATGCACAGCATTCTGATTTTTTGGCCGCATATGTTTCGTGAGCAATGACATGTAAGGTGCCGTCAATGTGAGTCGAACTACATCTCGGCGAAAGTGTATAGCTCCAAGCATTCCTTGTGTCAAGGTGTCTATCTGTCCTGAACAAACTATATATGTGTACATAAAATGTCTGTGTATTATATATATATGTATATTCACAAATATGTTTATATAATATATACACACATGTGTAGGTTGTTGGAAGTTGGAAGCGCCTTGCCAGAGCAGGGACCACTGAAAAAGCATTCCCTCATCATGAGGAAGCGCATTATGAGGAGATCCTAATCCAAAGCAGAGTCTCCTTCCCTTATCCTAAGGGTCCACAGGACCCAATAATTAGGTACTTAGGTTTCGGATAGTAGTTATGTAGGTTACTATTTGGGAGAGTATATGATTATTAGATACTTGGACCCTTGGGGGTTTTTGCAGGGGAAAAACTACCAGTAGGATCCTTTTCTCAGGACCCCTAAATCAGGTGCTCCGCTTTCAAGGAACCCCACCTGTCATGACACATGGACTTCGGGCCCTAAGGTTTGGGGCAGTTCTCACTGAAACTTTAGCATCCACGCCGCATCAAGCCTTCATTGTATCTAGAAGCCCAACTGCACAGGAGGTGGGTAATCCTGAACCCTAAAACCCTAAACCCTAAAACCCTAAACCCTAAAGTCCTAAACCATCCAAAGAATATTTGGAAGCCTGCCGCCCGCAGGATGGAGGCAGGAATCTTCGTGGCCTGGGATGCTCGGATGGCCCGCGGGGTGGTGAAGGGTCTAGAGTTATAGGGTTTTAGGGCTTTAGGGCTTTAGGGTTTTAGGGCTTTAGGGCTTTAGGGTTTTAGGGTTTCAGGGTTTAGGGTTTTAGGGTTTAGGGGTGTGTGTCGTGCTGTTACGGTTAAACTAGTGGAGAATACAGTGACTCTTGGGCTTGCCTCTCATTTGGCAGCAATGAGTCAGTGATTCAGCGTTGTTCAGGCGCCAGATTCGCACCCACGTTTCTTGGAACCCGGCCCGAAACATCTGAACCTGTTGACACGACATCGACACGCGCATCAGGAATGCCGCAATATGTCAAGGCTGCAAATACGAAGCAATGATCACCAGGAAGTACGAAATCCTTCCGTTTGAGGGTTTAGTTAGGGTTTAGGGGCCTGCCCTCACTCGCATAGATTTTGGCAAGAGGAGGGTAAAACGAAGGCTGACGAATCCTGCTTACTGATGATCGAGGCATTTCAGACCGGCCTTTTGTCTTTGAGCCAACAGCCACGGAGCTTAAGCTCGTTTGACTAACACGGTATACGCCCTAAACCCTAAACTCCAAGCCCTAACCCAGAGACTCCAATGTCCCTTAATTTATAAGGAATATACCTTAAATCTTGTTTGAGCTCGCATGATAAATTAAGGTATATTCCTTAATTAAAGGACATTGGAGTCTCTGGGAAGCTTTTGAGAGAGCGGGGGCCCTAAACCCGAAACCCTAAACCCTGAGCCCTAAACCCTAAATCCTAGACGGGGGTGCTGTCTTTGGAGGTCCTGGTGTTGGTGGTGACCCTTCTCCAGAACTGGCTTGCAGGCTGGGCCGGGGTTTAGGGTTTAGGGCTCTGGAGGTGCCGGTTCTTGGCGTTTTTTTGGCGATTCAGGGCTTACCTGCAGGCTCCATTGTAGTTCCTTTTTGGGGGTTTCTATTTAGGATCCTATAAGGTAATCCGGAAAAGGAACTACCATAGAGCCGATGGGTACCGAGTTTAAGGACTGAGGAGATTAGGGTTCCCGGTTATCGGTGGACTTCGGGGTAGAGGGGTTTAGGGTTTAGGGGTTTAGGGTTTTTGGGTTTATGGGTTTAGGGTTTGGGGTTAGGGGGAATGGCACGTCGGACCTCCCACCATCACCCTGCCTGCTCTCGTGGCAGCAGCTTGTGGCATAGAGCCATCGTTCATCCCTTATAGACCGAGTGACCCTTAAAAGTAGCGGCCCCATGCCCTTATGCCACGAATCCCCACATAGTACCTGAACCTTACACCCGTTTCGGCTTCCCTCAGGGGCTCCAAGTATGCAAATACGGTAGTGCCTACTGTGGGGTTTAGAGTCTACAAGTAGTACCTACTTTGGGCTATTTGGAGGCCCAGGGTTCGTTTCGTCCAGAAGGATTGTCCACGCCCCCTCCCGAAACCCTAACCCTCAACCCTAGAGTCTAAAGCCCTAAAACCCTATGCCCTACACCCTAAACCCTAAAACCCTAAGCCCTAAACCCTAAACCCTAAAGCCCTAAACCCCAAACAAGGAAGCTCTAGCGGACTCTAGCGCTGAGCCGCAGCATCTCTTGGCCAGGCTGCCATGTGCTAAAAGAGGGTTTAGAGTTTAGGGTTTATGGTGTAGGGTTCAGGGTTTCGGGTTTAGGGTTTCAGGGTTTAGGTTCAGGTGCCTTATAGAGATTCCTAGTATAAGGGTAGACGGTATAGGGCCCTCTACTTATAAGGGTAATTTGTTTTTTTTTATGCAGAGCAAATCTCAAACACCAAACCCGAGCCAAACGATAAGTCCAAAGGTTTCACTATATGAATATAGATGTCAGACTATGAATGCAGGAGCAACAATGACAGGGCCCCTATCATATACCCCATCACCTTATACTGATTAAACCCTAAACCCTAAACCCAGCCAACTCAAAGCCTATGGGGAGGTCTCGTTGCCAAGCGCCTCTCCACCGTCATCCGCTCCAGCGCACAGCAACTCTCTTTGCTCATCGCTTCTTGGTCATGACTTGAGTAGTTGGGCATTGGGGGCTATCGGTGGAGTCTCAAGAATTCAGAAATGGGGGTTTCCGAAAATAGGGGACCCTAATATAGTACCCTAAATAGTAGGATCCTTAGTATAAGGACCCCAAAATAAGGTATCCCTGATTTTCGGAAACTCCCAAATCTGGAGTTGCGACGCTCTGGAGATCAGCTGCTGCAGCGTGGCCACCGTGCGGGGTCTCGTTCCGAGCCACGGGACGGTGTAGGGTGTGGTGTGTAGGAGCCTAGCTCTCATGACTCCTCAGCTCCGCACTATAATGTACCATAGCATCCTACAGTATTGCTATAAAGTACTATATAAGATATGTTGGAGTAAGTACATACCATACTATGCTGTTTGATACGATGATATACTGTAGACCAAGCGGCGGGCCGAAATTCAGTTGAGACAGCTGGCTTTGACCAGGTGTACTTCGTGGGGGACATTTGGTTGAACCACGTTGTTTTCGACTGGCCAGTGGGAACCACGGCGCTGGCCACCAGGCTGCAAAAAGAGCACGGGGGCCCCTAAACCTCCATTGTAGCTCTTTTTGGCAACTTTTTGGGGGTTTATATTCAGGACCCTATAAGGTAATCCCAAAACGGAACTAATATAGAGCCTATGGGTAAACCCTACAGGGGACCCAGAAAGTTATGGGCTTTGGGAGTAGCGTCGAGGGTCGTGCTGCCACCTGCTCCCAGTGTCGGTGCTGCAGTTTCACAACCATGAAGACACGCTTAGCTGCGTCCGATAGTTTACTACGGCTGATGATATAAATCCTGCATTGCCCATAATGAGGCATATACCAGAATTCCCAGAGTTTAGGGTCCTTGAAATAATGCAGGATTTATATCATCAACGTAGTAGTTGCGTGAAGGCATAGGCCCCAGCATAATTAAAGTGTGAGTTGATGCCAGTGTCGTTGCTTAAGGTCCGTGCGATGCCGTGCAATCGGAGCCATTGCTTTGAGTCCAAGCGATTTAGGGCGCGAGGTGGCAAGCTAAGACTGATGATGGGTTTAGGGTTTAGGGCAGGTTTTTGGAGAGTTCTGCATGTCAGATGACATCCGCCGGAAGCACGACACTTGCAGGTATTCGAGTTCCATCGCGGGAGAGAGGTTTTGTCGATTCGACAGCTGCGAGATGTCCAGATGCCATGACAGCCTCTAGCCGCTGCAGCGCGATGGAGAGTGATGCCGCAAGGCTGCTCTGCACAAGTGGGTTCGTGATGGTCCATGGGCCATGCAGCAGCTCCCCCTGCATAGCGCGTCTCTGTTACGATTGCAGAAAGTAAAGAAGACTCCAGGGCATAGGGATGGGGTTCGATCGCATGGCGCAATCCAACCCGGAGCGCCACAAGAGCCCTGCAAGAATTTACGATGCGTGAGTCCGGCTAAGACAAAGCAAAGCGGAGGGAACAAAGACACCTGCGCTACTATAGAGCCTATGGGAACATGCAGCAAAGCAAGAACCCAGGACGCGGGTTCCGACCTGATGCCAGGAATATGCGACACCGGAGCCCAAGCCCCAGAGCTCTATCGACAAGTCTTGTCTTAGCTGGGATATGTAATTTAAGTCGCCCACAATACAGGCATATATAGTAAATATGATGGTTTACGGGGCTTATGGTACCTTGAAGATTAACGCCCTACAGCTCGGAACCCTGAACCTTCAGTCTCCCCCAAACCCTAAACCCTAAACCCTAAAACCTAAGTCCTAAACCCTAACCCTAAACCCTAAACCCTAAAACCTAAACCCTAAACCCTAAACCCTAAACCCTAAATTCTAAACCCTAAAACCTAAACCCTAAACCCTAAAACCTAAACCCTAAACCCTAAAACCTACACCCTAAAGAACGGCCGCCCAAAGGTGATTGCTCTCTCCGTGCAGGTGTTCGCGTTGGCGGGGCAGGCCCGCGTTGAGTTTAGGCTTTAGGGGCCTTAGGGGAGTTTAAGCTTCTTTGAAGGAAAGGGTTCGGGTTGGGCGGCTTGGGCCTTTAGAGGTATCGGAATTTACGGTGTCAGCACTCTGTGGCCAGGGTACCGTTCACATGACATAAGACGTGGCAAGGGTGAACTTACAGAGTCGACCTGTGTCATCTCATACTGCAAGGCGCGAGAGAGCCAGAAAACCCAAAAAAAAAACAACCACCCTCAAGCCATGTCTTGTTTGATCTTGGGAGCCGACACCCTACCTTTACCCGTTCGCGCCGATCTGCAGCAGGGATTCAGGATCTAGGGGCCTAACAGGGGTGAGGGCCAGGGCACCCCTGGACGAGGTGCGGAAAACAGATCAGCTTCTCAAGCCTGATGGGGTTTAGGGTTTCGGGCTTGGAACCGAAGAAAAAACCCCACAACTACAACCTTAGAGCCAGAGCACGCGAGACGAAGAGATCGTTGTTTCATGGCACCTCAATTCAGCCCAGGAGCAACAGTGAACTCTTCCTCGGGACATCTAGGTCTAGGTGTGTTCGGAACCAGCGTAAAGCTCGGTTCTCCCAGTGCTTTTCAAGAAGACTTGCAGGTGGAGCACAAGAACAGCGGCTCAGCTGAACCTGGTACACTGGGACTGTGGCATTCTTGGCTCCATTTCGGTGCATGTGCTGATGGGGGGGGCCCTGTTCGCAGTGCCGGAGAAGCTACGTGCACAGGTTCACTTGAACTCCTGCAACAACCTGGGACTTTGATTCAGCTTAACTACACTCAACAATTGTTTCGCAGCTTGTCACCATGGAACCAATCCCAGATCTTTGCTTTTTTGGATTGTTGACGACGTTGTTAGCTCTTGCCTTAGACCTCTAAACCTCTAAACCCCTAAACCTCTAAACCCTAAACCCCCCAAATCCTAAAACCCTAAACCCCTAAACCCTAAAACCCCTAAACCCTCACGTCGCCTCCGAATCCGAAGCATCATCTTGCTGCCTGCATTCGAGGTGCTGCCACCTCCGCACCCCCCAGCTCTTCCTCTTGTGAGAGCCAGGTAGTTTAAAGCTTCGCTTCGCCTAAGGGATTTATAGGGTTTATAGGGTTTAGGGCTTAGGGCTAAGGGCTTAGGGCTTAAGGTTTAGGGCTTAGGGTTTATGGGGATGCAGGGATAGATTTGCTTCTTTGTCCGGAGGTAGCATATCCGGCTCATGAAGAAGGGGATGTCACGTCGACCGCCGGCTCGGTGGTTCCTTTCTAAGGGATTACCTTTTTCTGTAGGATTCTAAACATACACCCCAAAAAGGAACTACAATGGAGCCCATTATGGGTACCCTATAAACTCCCAAGCCTTAGCTTCCCTAGAACGTATGTGCAATTCGTCGTCGGGACCTTGCCATCCAAGACAAACCTTGGAGCAGGCTCTTGCATGTTTCACCGTGGCGACTTGTCAAAAGCTGCCTTCTATGTTCAAGCTAGGTTTTAAGGTTTAGGTTCTTTTAGAAACCCTAAGCCCTAAATCACAAAATGCCCTAAGCCCTTATAAGTCGTGCTTCAATCTGGCTTGAAATGTTGGGCTATGGACGGAGACTGCGAGCTTGACATTGGCATTTATCTTTTGCCTCCTCATTACTGGGTTCTTGTTAGGTTTAATTGAAGTTACCATAATGGGGATCTCTAGCAATTAATGGGGCTTCCTGATTATGGTGACTTAATTCAGACCCCTTAGCAAGAACCCAGAGTGATTACTAAGTTACTAAGGTACCCTAAGCCCTGAACCCCAAACCGTAAACCGTGTAATACGTAAACCTGTATCCCATTTATGATGGTATTTGGAGCCTTCGGCCCCTAAACCCCTAAACCCTAACCCCTAACCCCTCAACCCTAAGCCCCTAAACCCTGTATCCCAGTTATGAAGGTATCTGGAGCTTTAGGGTCAAGGACGGAACGCTGACCTAAACCCTTAAAGGAACCCTTAAAGGAACCCTAAACCCTAATCCCTTAAAGGAGCCTTTGAAGGAGCCTTAGGGTCAAGGACGGAACTGAGCGGCAGGGCTAGAGGTCCATTTCGCAACATCGAAGCTGTGGAAAGGGGGACTTAAAGGTACCACAGTTCAGGGTCCAGGGTTTAGGGTTTACATGGTTTATGGGGTTTAGGGTTTTTCGGGTGTTTAGAGTTTATAGGGTTTATAGGCGGGGTTGAAATCTGTGAGTCTGAAAGTCCAGGTACAGGCCTAAGCAGTACCTGCACCTACCAAAGCCACGTTTTTGCAACGCCCCTTTCATTCATTACATTAGGTTGTGTTTGTAGACGCTGCAGCAACGTAGGTCATAGTAGGCTGAGATAGCGTGAAGATGGATGGACGCTTGCTTTTGACACACGCCCCGCAGCCGCGCAACAGTGTTCCCACGCTGGTGGGCGAGCCGAGACAGTCTTTCCTGAGATCAGGGTTCCTTTTCAGGCCTGCAGCCAGCATGGTCGACTTAAGCAGCGGTTCATGTTTTGAACCCTAAACCCTAAACCCTAAGCAATGTTGGAGGCTTTGCCCTGTGTCGGACGAGCACACACGAGTTTGTTGTCCTCATTCGGCTCACCCCACAGTCTACTCTGAGGAACCCAGAAAGCACCGGCTAACTGAGGCTGTTGTGGAGCTCCAGGTAGCTACACAAAAGTTAGGCTGCCGTATACCTCTACAATGGGGCAGTATACTTATGTTAATATGTCATATGTCGTATGCATGTATGTATGTATATACATACATATATATATATATATATACATACGTATGTGTGTATATATATATATGTATGTATATGTATATGTACATGCATATGCATATGCATATGCATATGTATATGTATATATGTATATGTATATATGTATATGTATATCTATATGTATATGTGCGTGGTTCGATACTGAAGCTATGTTTACAGTATAATGTGCTGTTATAGTTAATTAGTCTACTACACTTCTCTAGAGGGTTGCGTGTTGCCTCTATATACCTCGCGGCCCTGATGACCAAGAGCTTGCAGATTCGCAGCTTATAAGTTTAGGGGTCTTGAGAATTTGGGTGGCTATATATATATATATGTATATGTATATGTATATGTATATATATATACACTATATCTATACATATATATATATAATATGGCTTAATCAGGGTATCTTATACAGTTTAGGGAAATTTGGGGTGGTTACATATAAACTTGATTGTAGGGGTAGGCCCTCTCTAGGGACACCCCAGAGCAGGGTGCTGGTGCTTCGCGGGTTCCTGGGTACCGCGGTCTAGCTTCCGAATTTTCTCAGCCTGCCGGCGCAGGATTTCCCGAAATGCGGTGGCCGACATGTGGCGAGTATCAATTATCTATGGATGAACGGGCCGCATAAACATAGTTAACGCTCGGTCACTAATACTATTTTTAGTAGACTATACCCCAAAACCCTGTTCTAATTATTAAGGCCCGTACTGTAATTGGGCTTTTGCAGGCTTTTTCAGATGAAGCCTGGGCATCTTTGGACTCGAGGGGAGAGAGAGAGGGTTTAGGGTTTAGGGCCTGGCGGATCACGAGTCGACGAGATATTTGCTGCTTTCAGGGGTTTAGGGTTTAGGGGTTTAGGGGTTAAGGGGTTTAGGGTTTAGGGGCCTGGGTACTGGCTTGTGTGACTTGAGTCACCCTGTACGATGTTTGGCGAAGGGCGTCTAGGTCCAGTGCGCACGCAGCATTCATGGGGGCAGCAATGCATGACGGGTCCCCTTTGCGACAAAGTAGTTCTTCTTTCATGTTCGGCCGTGTGGGTTGAAAAGGTATCTAATTTCAGTCAGGGTCCGGTTCAGCTACATTGCTGTTGGGGTTTGAAACGAATGGCTTTTAATTTCCGTTCTGAAGAGTTTGACAGGAGTCAACCCATAGCCGCATCCTAAGCTCGGTCGCTGGTAGACTCCCGAATCCCTTTAGCCTGACCTTTTGCCTGACCTTTAGGGTTTAGGGTTTAGGTTTAGGGTTTAGGGTTTAGGCCTGGATCCCTTTAGCCTAACCTTTAAAACAACTCATGCATTTGGGGTGTCTACTTTGAGGTTCATGGGTGGTTTTTAAATGGGCCAATGAGTAGTAGGGGCCAGAGTTAGCGCAGATTAGGGGACTTATATCACCCCACTTATAACCATCCTAAGCCCAAAACCCTAAACCCACTACCCATGAACCCCAAGTAGGTACCCATATTTAGGATCCTATAATAGGTACTCCCAAGAAGGAACTACTATGGAGCCCATGGGTATACCCGAAGCCCCAAGACCACAAATACGACCTCCGCACAGCGGTGGGCCCAGTGCCGGCAGTTGCACCTCGACGCACTTGGCGAAGAGGCGCTCGCCTAACAAAAAGTGCTAGAATCCACCTTTGGGTGTGTATATATATATTATATCTATCTATCTATCTATCTATCTATATATCTATCTATTTTTGTATGTAGGATCCTATAAGGCAACCCACAAAGGAACCTCCAATGGAGACTTTTGGCAGTATCTACTCCAAACAGTTTAGGTATGACCACCGTTCTACGAAGGACTCTAATTTCGAGAACGGCCTGTATAGATGTTGTTGCTGAGGTGTCGTTGAGCTGTGCTTCGTAGTTTGGCTGGACTTCTTCCTGCACGTCGACCCATGTTCCTGAGTCTGAAGCCTAAACCCTAAACCCTAAACCTGAGTACCCGAACCTTGGAAAGCCTGAGAAACCTCAGATGTCTACTTAGTCTACACCTTGCAAATTCCAAAGACACTAAATAACTGGGCCTCCAAAATAGCCCAAAGTAGATACTATTTGCAGACTTTAGTCCCCAAAGTCGGCACTATTTGCATACTTGGAGCCCTAGGGAATACTCATTTTTTGAGGACCCCACGGGCTTTGTCAGGGTACGTTGGTGGACTGTGGAGGTCGGGTCGTGGGGACCAGCGCTAAGCTTGGCCTTGCCTAGTTGTAGACTGTAGACGCTACCTGTATCCTGTGACCCAAATCCTAAACCGTACCCGAAACCCTAAGACCATATTAATCTTTAAGCTGTAGGTCTTTGGGGTTGGAGGTACGGTCCAAGTGTTCAGGGTTTCGAGGGCTTTTAATTGGGTAGGCTGTCCAGTGTCAGTGCAGGTTTCCAAAGAGGGTCCAGTAAGGGTAGTTGCGAAACACTTACTACATGGGTACTTGGACCCTGTGTGGTTGTAGGATTGTCAGCGCGGACATCCCAACTCGCCTGCCGCTTCATTGGCTGATTATGGCTTACAGGGTTCATGGGTAGTTATAAGTATGTTTATAAGTCCCCCAATATGGGGAATAGTTACCTTTCTTATAAACCCCCTTATCACTACCCATGAACATCCAAGTAGAATTAGGGAGGTCTTCCCTTGACCCCAAACATTACTTGACTGAGGTTCTTGTGAAGGAACTTTGGTTGAAAGTTGTATGATAAGGAACCGTAAGGTTCACCATGGATCCGGATAGCTCAACGAAAAGTCTAACTCCCACCTCCGAGCTTCATAGGAAATACATTGAGAAATGGGCTCAGGAGCACCACACTTCAACACTGATTTGTACCTGTTCGCAAGACCCATGATGAAATACAAGTAGATGTGCTTTTCTCCCTACTTAGTTACTTCAGAGCGGTGAAGTTTGAGCCTCCAAACCGCAACAGCGCTCAAACTGCAGGAGCTTGAGTCTGAGTTCGGCAACGAAACATCGAAGCACTAGGAGTTTAGGGTTTAGGGTTTAGTTTAGTCCTGTATAACCTTGTTTGGGCTCCTCATAAGAGTTGCCTATATAAGTCCTTAGAGAGGTAGGTTATTTGGGTTTATAATGAATCCCACAAGGCTACAGACCCGCGTTCTAAGCCCTTACATCCTAAACTTTGTCTTCGCAAACAACTAGCTTGACATGTTTCGTAACCCGTGAGGCAGTTACTTAGGTAGTATAGATAGAGGCACGGACAGATAGTTAGACAGACAGATATGCAAAGCATATACCAGCATGCTCCCAGCATCTGTTAATACACTGAAGTATCCGTCACAAAA